AATAATGAACAATTCGAAAAAGTTAGCAGATATCTACAAGTTCTTCTCTTTCTTTCTGCAGAAACTACAATAAGTATGTATAGAGTAGAATCTTTTGGAATGCTTGTTTCGAGGATTTTTTTAGGTGCGAAAAAATTTTGCAGCCACTGTAGGGCATAACATGTTATCCACCTTCCAAATGTTCTGCTCAACAATGTAGCGCTGAAATGCTTCATGGGTTTGCCGGGGTCTTTAATGATGTAAATAAAATTATTGCTCGTAATAAATTAATCCCTCAGTGCTCAACAATTTTACTGGCCATGTTCAAACTGCGTTGAGGAGGAATCCGAAATATAATCCACCGAAGGTTTACTTTGTCAAAAAGAAGAAATTTCTAAAAAATTCTGTACGTGTAAATTGTCCTAAATTTATTGAGCACGTTCACTTCCCGATAAGTGTGATCAATTAAGTTACACACTTAACCGTCAACGCATTTGCAATAAATGTAAAAAACTCTTTTCAGAGCCTGAAATTTTTTCAGGTCATTTTTCCAGTAGTGTTATGGCTGCATTCGCATCCTTCATTCTTTCATTATTTAATTGCTACTGTTGGACATCTATTGTCTTGAAACAGGCTAGACAAAGAAAAAGGTTTATAAATTTCACAAGCTGTTAAATCAAACTAGAAAACTTAAGCAAATTACGACGGCGACGGCAACGAGAACGCTACCAAACAAAAGGTTTAATGAGCAGAACAATAGCTGTGTACGTGCATAATAAATCTTAGTATATTTCTTAGCGGTCCTCTGCAAGACAGCAACGTGTTAAGTTCTGCTTATTTCGGAGAACACGAATAATGGCGGCTAATTTTTCGTATTTTCATTTGGAATTGAACGCCAATAGACGCTATGAACAGATCTAGACAGTTGCTTAATTTGAAGGTAAAACATTAATTCGTTTTTAACTAGGCGTTGCCGTCAGGGTCGCGGTCGTCATTGCCTTCACTTTGAAGACGAACCGCACGTTTTATATTATAACAGATCATAACATCAGATGTCATCAGACATCTCCCATCACGACCAGGGGCCCCGTTTCTCGAAGGTCCCGAAAAGTTTTCGCACCCGAAACGCCGTCGCAAAATCTCAAACCTTTTGACTACAGAGCTGTTTTATGCACATATTCTTAATACGAACAGAGGTTCTCTTCATACGAGAAGTTTCTGGCGTATACACCTCTCTGTCTTTAAACACCGATTAACTAAAAATTTCGGGGCTTTCGAGAAACAGGCCCCAGCAGTCTTCCTGTAGGTTACTTACGCAATTAACCTTATGATGAAGCCCTGTCCATTTTCATAAACCCTTTTTTCCTTGTTATAATTTTACTCTTCCATTTAACGTAAATTAAAGGTGGTTCTCAAGAAGAGCGAAGGGCGAAAAATTCTTTTCGAAGAACGATTCGGTACCTCGGTGACATAAATATTCCTGAAGGCATTAATCCAATGTCAATTTAAAATCAATTAAGTATAGAGCTACTCTTATACCGATCACAGGTAAATTTTAGTTTTCAACTCCATCCA